GTTGCAGTGAGCCAAGATCAAGCCACTGCACTCTCAGCCTGGGAGACAGAGCAAGACTCCATCTCAAAAAAATAAGTAAATAAATAAAAAGAGGATATGCACCATGGAGACCATATTTTTCATTTCTGCTGAGTACTATATTACCGCTGAGCAAAAGGTCCCACTACATAAAGTGATTTTTTTTTTTTTTTTTTTGTGAGACAGAGTTTCACTCTGGTTGCCCAGGCTGGATGGAGTGCAATGGCGTCATCTCAGCTCACCGCAACCTCTGCCTCCAAGGTTCAAGCGAGTCTCCTGCCTCAGTCTCCTGAATAGCTGGGATTATAGGGATGCACCACCACACCCGGCTAATTTTTTTGTATTTTAGTAGAGACGGGGTTTCTCTATGTTGGTCAGGCTGGTCTTGAACTTCTGACCTCAGGTGATCTGTCCGCCTCAGCCTCCCAAAGTGCTGGGATTACAAGCGTGAGCCACTGCACCCGGCCGATTTTTTTTTTTTTTTTTTGAGACAGGGTTTTACTCTGTCATCCAGACTGGAGTGCAGTGGTACAATCTTGGCTCACTGCAACCTCCACCTCCCGGGTTCAAGTGAGTCTCCCATTTCAACCTCCCGAATAGCTGAGACTATAGGCACGCACCACTATGCCTAACTAATTTTTGTATTTTTTGGTAGAGATGGGGTTTCACCATGTTGGCCAAGCTGGTCTTGAACTCCTAACCTGAAGTAATCTGCCTGCTTCAGCCTCCCAAAGTGCTTGGATTATAGGCGTGAGCCACTGTGCCCAGCTGAGAATGTCCTCATTAATAGAGACTTTACCCTGTTCCATTGGGATTTCTTTTCATTAAGGCCTACTGAGAGATTAAAAATGATGGAGGAGAACCTGTTTATTAACGGCCACATGTGTGACTAAAGTTTACATACAGTGCCTGACCTAAAACGCAGCCTTTCACTACTGCAAGGTAAATTCAGCCGTCAGGATTCTTTCTGTAAAGCTGGGCTGTAGACTCACACTTGAAGTTTTCATTTGTCCTAAAGGACAGGGGAGATGGCGGGAGGCAAGCATGTGCCTGTGTGAGGACCCCTCTCTGCCTGCTTGTGGCAGAAGAGGTCCCTGCAGAAGACACACTACGAATGTGTGAAAGATGAGCTGTGGAACAAATGAGCAGGGGCAGTTTCTGACTCTGATAAAATTACATTCTTGCTAGAATCACTGCTTCAATGGTTGTTTTTTATTAAAAGAAAAACAATTCAAAACACATAAGAAATTAGACTTTTATCAATACACAAATAATTTTACTTAAAATCAACCCAGTTACATATTTTTAAAAAATTGCAGAACCTCTCCGCACCAATGTCCACAACCTAGAATAGGTTCGTGTGAAACCTGTAGTCCTACCCCGGAGCATCAGTAAGTGATGGTCCAGGTACTCACTGACACGTTTCTCCTGACACCGAGATAGTCGCAAACAAAACACCGTTCTTGCCTGGATGAAGCAAGAGTTCACATAAAAGAGCTTTATAAAATGTCTATGAAGGAGAGTTGGTAATATCAGAAGAGCTCCAGCACTTCAATTGAATATAATCCTCTATTATTCTTTTCTTGATTTAATTTCTGTAGCTCCCGAAAACTTACTTCAATCTTGTTGAGCTCGGAATAAACAGATATCTAAAGAAAAAAGTTTCAGAGTAACTTTTACCATAATGTCTACATAGAAACAAATCTTCCATGACTATTAGTAAGTAAGGACAAATTTTAAGAATAAATTGTAATTCAGGTGATACTTAGGTACAAATAAAATCAGTGTATATCAAAATAATCACAAACCTGAGATTTTACAAGCTTGTAAAGATTTATCAGTAGCCTCTTTGCTTCTGGCATCATTACAACAACAGTAAAATTTGCATCCAGAAGTAGACATATCCAATCCATAATCTGAAAATGAACAGGAAAAGGAAAGTTAAGATTTTAAATTTAACTTCAGGTTAATTCACTTTACCAAGTCCATAAATATATCAAACAGTTATGAGAAAAACAAGTCTTTATAAATAAAATCTGAACATTTTAATTTAGAGATGGAGGAATTTCTACGAAATATAAAAAGGCTCGTTTCTGGCTTTTAAAACATCTATTTTAATTAAGAAAATATTTTAGAGACGGGAATCTTGCTATGTCACCCAGGCTGGAGTAGGAATGCAGTGGCACAACTCATAGCTCACTGGAGCCCCCAAACACCTGGGCTGGAGTCCTGCCTCAGCCTCCCAGAGTAGCTGCAATCATCCAGAGCTGTTGGGATTACAGACGCACCACAATACCTGGCTAATTTTTAACAATTTTTGTAGAGATGGGGTTTTGCCTTATTGCCAAGCTGGTCTTGAACTCCTGGCCTCAAGCAATCCTCCAACCTCAGACTCCCAAAGTGCTAAGATTACAGGCTTGAGACACCGCGCCTGGCCAGTAGTTGCCTTTTTATTTTTAAAAATTTTAGTTTTTAGTTTTGATAATTTTCAGTTACAAAACAAAATAACCACTCATCTTCTATTCTGCAAGATACATTTTTCCCCAAGGACAAGGTGTTGTGTATTATAGATGAGCTACCATAAACTAGAATTATTACTAAGCATTTATAAAAGTTTCTTATGTAGTCCTACATCTTCCAATGGTGTAGTTAACGTGCAACTATCAAAGCACCCAGGAAACTGGTTATCCATTTGGGAGGGGGAGCTGATCCCTATGGAACTCTTTATTCCAGATTAAATTCTATATGTATCAAAGAGTTAAACACAAGAAATAAAACCATGTAGTAGGGAAAGCTGGTGACTATTTTCATAATCTTAGAGTGGGAAGGGCCTTAAACATAACATAAGCCATAAAGAAGTCATACAGGAAAAGTTTAATTAATTTTAATAGCATGAGTGTCTGTCAAAAATTATACTAGAGAATAAAAAGACAAATAACTTACAATGCATTTGATAGAAAAGGCTAATTTCCTTAATATAAAAGGAACTTTTTATAAACCAAAAAACAGGAAATGCAATAAATATATGGACAAAGAACCCGACTAGGCAGATTCACAAAAACAAATATAAATGGACAAGAAATGGTTCCCTTCTCTCATTATCAAAGAAATGCAAATCAAAATGAGGTAACACCTGTTACCCATCTGATTGGCAAAGAGTAAGTTTGACAAAACTGGGTGTCAGTAAGAATGTGAAAAAGAATGCTTCAGACCTTGCTGGTGGTAGCTGTCACAACTCTTCAGAAAGTCTGGCATTTTGAAAACTAAAAATGCATGTACCATTTCATCCAGTAATCTCTCTTGTGGGAATTTATTCAACAGGCATTCTCATAAATATACAAGAATATCTGTATAAAGATGCCCACTGAAGATTTACGACAGCAAAAAATGGTAAACAATTTAAATGTCCATCAATAGAGGAATGATAGATACATTAATTTATATTTGTAAAATGAAATAGTATACATTGGTTAAAAGGAATGAGGCAGATGTATGTCTATTGGTCCAAGAAATGTCTGATACAGTGCTGAGTGGGCTGGTTGCAGTGGCTCACACCTATAATCCCAGCACTTTGCAAGGCTTAGGCGGGTGGATCATCTTGAGGTTGGGAGATTGAGACCAGCCTGGCCAACATGGTGAAATCCTGTCTCTACTAAAAGCACAAAAACTAGCTGGGCGTGGTGGTGGGGACCTATAATCCCAGCTACTCAGGAGGCTGAGGCAGGGGAATCACTTGAACCTGGGAG